CTGCTGTTTAAATACTTAGTAGATGTAATTGTGTGATCCTGCTGTAGAATATCCATGTAAAATTGTTTTAGCATTTTCTGGTTCTCTCTCAAATTTAAAAGCTAGTTTATTGCACAGATACTATATGGGTTGTTTATGATTTCAATATCAACATTATTCCTATATGTTAGAATATAATAACCACCTGATGTTGAAATTCACTGAAACTTCAAATAAAATATGGAGCAGATCACAGTTGCTTAGAGATTTCTTGTTCCTATGAAGATGAGAACTTGCCTCAACATATTTGCCTAATAAGGAGACATCTGTCAACATGCTGGACTTTGGATGTCAAGGAAGAAAGATTTGCTTTCAAAATATACTCATTTACAAAACACAGCCGGGGAGGTTGGTCTTGTAAATTGAGTTGGGAGAAAGACTGTAAAATTTAAATTATAAGACTAAAGAGTAACTAATGGAGAGAAATATTCCCCGTACTTAATTATAGATTACTTTATTTGAATTCTTTTTAAAAACATATATATTATATTATACTAAATTTGAATTTGTGGTTCCATAGGAATGAAAGTAATGGTAGATAAATGCATTCTTCTAAATATACTTTATAAATATGTGTGTGTGTGTGTGTGTGTGTAATGTCATAGAGTACTTGCTGGGTAATAGATTGCTTATGTCCTGACACAAAGGATTTTTTGTCAGTGCATTGCCTGAATAATTTCCCTATTTAATCAAAGATTGTGAAAAGTATAAAATATATGCAGGGTTATCTCTGACTTATCTCTGAAGTTAACTAATTTAAGCAAACTTGAACACAGTTTCATGAGTGACTTATTAATGATCCTAGTCAAAGATAAGCAAATTGAAGCTGAACTCCTGCCAAACTGACAAATTCATCACAAGGTTACATATTTTAAAATTGCCATTTTTTGGAGGGGAGGGTGTTCCTTCTTACTGGAGGAGAAAATGGCCATCCACTTCAGTATGGTGGCAAAAATTAAAATGAATATTTACAACTAAAATAGTGGAAGATAACAGCTAAGGCAATATTTTTCAACCTTCGCAACTTTAAGATATATGGATTTCAACTCACAGAATTTCTCAGCCAACTTTGCTGGCTAGGGAATCCTGGGAATTGAAAGCCACACATCTTAAAGTTACCAAGGTTGAGATTGAGAAACACTAAATTAAGGCAAGAAGGAATCTAAAAAAATAGGGACCAAAACTGACATTTCTGGGCTAAATCCAGAAGAGAATCCAACTACTGATATGCTAAGAGGCAAAAGGAAAATCCAGTTCTTCAGAGTTATATATACAATTGATAAGTTGAATATCAGAATCATGAATCAAGGTAAATTTGATGTTGTCAGAACAAAAACGTTAAAAATGAATGGTGACATCTAAATCTTTTACTGTGGACAAGAAAATAATAGAATAAATGGAGTAGCCATAATTGTTAACAAATAAATACTAAAGTCAATGCTTTCGTAGAACCACGGGATTGATGGGATGAATATTATTTGTAATATTGTAACAATTGTAACAATTTTTGTTTGAAATGTAAATATCGAAGATGTTATATTTATCCTAAATAAATTAAATTATTTAATTTAATAATTTAATGGAATATTTAATTTAATGGAAATTAAATAGAATCTGGAATTGGGCAAATGTGATCTTGGCATACAAAACAAACCAGATAATATACTACTCTTTTATCAGGATGCTTACATGATTATAGAAAATACCTTTTTTGAACAGCCTTAAGTATTACTCTCCATATGGACATCATCATCATCCGAAATACGTAAGATCTCCGACCTCCGGGTGTTTCGCTGCGCACTGAAGACCCTGTTGTTCCGCCAGGCAGGGCTATCAACATAATAATTTTAAATTGGGGTATTTTAAATTTTTGGGGTTTTAAATCGGCCAAATCTATTTAATTATTTTAATTTTTAATTATTGTTGTGTCCTGTGTTTTTAAATTGGCTGTACACCGCCCTGAGTCCTTCGGGAGAAGGGCGATATAGAAATAAAATTATTATTTATTATTATTATTATTATCAGGAGCAACTTCAGTTGACTACATATTTTGCAAACAAAGATGGTGGAGCTCAATTCATTCAAGAAAACCAAGGTCCAGTACTGACTGTAGCTCATCTCTTGAATGTGAAAAGAGCTGAGGAAAGGCAAAAAACAAAATGAAATGGTGACAGGAAAAATTATCTAGCTAATTTTCAAAGAAGAGTAAAAAGAAACGATGGAGATATATCCAATTGAGCAGTTTAAAGAAATTGAGGATACAATTGATTTAGAATGGCAATATATTTAAGAAAGTTAAAGAAAATTTAGTTAACTATTTTTGCAAACATGCACAATAATCAAAGACGATATAAAAATTAGCAAAGACTAAAGGGGTAGATCCTATTATGATCATAAATGTCAGCTTAAAAGAACTCAAGCAGTTACTGACAGACAAACCTGGCAAACTGTTGTTTATTGGACCATAGTAGAAACTGAACAATATTTCCTTGTCATGTTCCCCAACATACCAATTTATAGACAGTTTTGGGTCTATTGAGTGACGTTCTGAATTAAAGAAGCAGGTCTTAAGAAGTTTTGACTTCAACATTTAGAAGCAAGTGGGCCTTGGATAGTTGCAGATGGAGCTCAGAAAAAGCAAAACTTATTGGAGGTTGAAAGCTTGGAGGTTTGGAGCTCTCAAATCATCAGCCAGCTGTGGATGCAGAGAAGGAAATTGAGCCACCTGACTTAGAGGTTAAACAGGAAAAGTTCCTCACTTGGGTGGCAACATCAAGGGAGTAGAATAAAAATAAAAAAAAAACAACAATAAAAATTCTGAAAGAAAAGAGGCAAGATTCAAGAAAACAAGGGTCCCTGAGTCAGTGTGATGAAGGAGAAGCTTGATAAACAATGTTCCAAAGTTGAGGCTAAGCATGCACTGCTTCTCATTTCTGGCTCTTGGGGGTGGGGGAATAAAGCTTTTTTCCCCTTGAATTCTTGCATTCCTACAGAGTTATGAGATGTGTAGCCACCATAAAGCCCTTTTATATAAGTTTGACCTTTTGTATGTGCAGTTGCTGTCAGAGGACCCAGAACTTCTGTTTTGCTTGATTCTGATTCATCAAGTAATAGAATCTGGTTTGGAGGAAATTTTTTATATCCCTTCACAAGGCAATTTAAAAAAAAAAAAATTCAACAAAACTAGCTCCTAAGGGGCAAGATGAAGATGACTAATGCAGAAACACCCCCCTCTTTTTTTGCGGGGGGGTGGAACGTCTCTTCAGTAGCTAAGATTATTTCCTCAGATTTATGTCTCAAAATGAGAAATGGCCATTACAGTGACTGACACTTCTGATTATAGCAAGCCTTGCTCAGTTTATGATCCTACTACAAGATCAGGATTTTGATTCTTGAACCCCAAGTAATCTAATTCAAACATAGACTCTGTCTTTATTTGTTAGTTTTATCTGTTTGTTTTTATTTGCATACTTCTTCTTCTTTTGAATGTTTATTTGGAATGAGCTGACTCCAGAAGAAAATCTGTTTGCTAATTTTCCCCAAAGAGAACATTTGAATACTTTGATTCTTATGCACTTTTCTATTTGCATGTGTTAATTAAATCGTTTATTTTATGTTTTGAGAAATTGTATGTGTGGTCCTTGAGAAAATTCACTACACTGCACCGTTACCAGAATTTTATCCATATGTGTCAGAATGTCCATATGTGTCAGAGTGACCATGGGTCACATTCTAAAACAGGGCTGTAAAACTCCCGGCCCGCAGTCCAGATGTGTCACATGCTGCCCACGCCCGGTTTAGCAAAGGGGGAAGAAGTCCTGCTACGTCATGTGATGCCACTGTGACGACGTGAGTTTGACACCCCTGTTCTAGAACATAGAATTGTTCCATTCAAATTGCTAGAGCCACAGTAATATACTTTTCTGCCTTGTGAGATTGAAACAAAGTATGACCTGAACCTAAAATAACAAACCCCCATGCTGTGTACCTTCTAACTGACATATAGTTTCTTAGTATAGGTCTTGCTGCACATCATAATGCCACGTTATACTATATTGGATTATGTTATGTAGACAGTTATTTTTCTTCTCATTTATGTCAATGGCAGAATAATTTCTAGATCTTACCCAATATCTGGAGTTTTATTAAGGAAAGTCATTAATTGGCCATGACTGGGTTATTTATTTCGTTAAAGAAAGAGCAGTTCTCACATAGCCTTAAAGCTCTCTATAACCTCCAACAGTATATAAAAACAGTAGAAACAGTAGAAAAGTAGAATTTGTCCTCCTCCTCCTCCTCCTCCTCCTCAAGCCTGCAGTGAAACGTGGTCAGTGAAATGTGTGGGCCTAAACTTTAGGTCTTTTGTTTAAGAATTTGTGCTTTTGGAATGAGCTTCAGGAGAAAATTGATTCCTTGTGTGTAAACATTTTTGAGAATTCAGCCCAAGTATGTATGTATTGGGTTTTTTCCAGGACGTCTGCAAAGATAAGCACCCAGTTTATTGCTTAATACCAGAAACAAACAAGCAACAAAGGTTCTGAAATTTGTCATTCTAGAGGGTTGCTGTGGAGACTCATGAGCCATCAGAACAGTGGTGGGTTTCAAAAATTTTTACTACCGGTTCTGTGGGTGTGGCTTGGTGGGCGTGGCTTGGTGGGCATGGCAGGGGAAGGATATTGTAAAATCTCTATTCCCTCCCCACTCCAGGGGAAGGTTACTGCAAAATCCCCATTTCCTCTCGATCAGCTGGGACTCGGGAGGCAGAGAATAGATGGGGGTGGGGCCAGTCAGACGTGGTATTTATCAGTTCTCTGAACTACTCAAAATTTCCGCTACCGGTTCTCCAGAACTGGTCAGAACCTGCTGAAACCCACCTCTGCATCAGAAAATTTAAAAAATTGCCCCTAATCTGAGAGGAGATAGGAGAGAAAAAGGAAAGGAAGGCAAAGAAAACCTCTGAGTTTTGATGGCTAAGATCTTTACTGGGAACAGCCATGATAGACATGAATCACTCATGGATGGAAGCCCAGATGACCTCTATTATCCTACTTCTAGAGCAGATGGTCTTGCTACTCTTTCTCAAAGGGTAGTTGGCTGCAATCATCTCTGTGAGGAGGTAGAAAATATCCCCTTCCATGCCAATAGAGAGTAAAAGTGGCAAGTTTTCACGATGTACACAAACATGTTCCTTCTCTGTGGGGCCCACGTTCCACCTGTAACCATTTTAGTCTTGCTGCTTGAATATTTGTGCACTGGCATATCTGATTCCATTGCATCAAGCATTACTGGCAGAGCGAGACTTCTAAAAGGTCCTGCAGACTCTAATAAAACATATTGAAAACAAGAATAATATAAATTTTCCTTTCACATTCTCATCTCATATAGCAAGTTTTGCAATCTAATAAATCTTTCATGGTAAGAAACATAGTTGTTTAAAAAAGAGATCACCCCTGGGTTTTATATGTTTAATTAAAGGGAATGCCTATGTGTTTAGGCTTCTAGTTTTCCTTTAAATTTGACTTTTCAAATAAAATAGGCATTTCAGATAATGTACTACACTACATTATTATTATCTAAATAAAATATAACAAACAGAAATTGCATTGATTTCCATTTTCTTTTTGAGTGGGAAATAGCTCATTATTTTCCCCACAAGGTGGTACTGTGGTACCATGATTACTTAACTTTTTACTTCTTGTAGATTCATTTGTTCTGAAACCCATTTTTAGACTCTTAAATGAGAGCATTTGAAAAATTAATCATTTCTGAAAAATACTGTGATCACCATGTTGCTGTTTTTATTTTGTAAATTGATTATAGATTCTGTTACAAGCCTTTTGCAACACTTTCTTATACTTTTTTTTTTAATTTTTAAAACTTTCATTTGCAGAGGTTTCTTTGTGGAAAAGATTTTTTTAAAAATGCAGTCAATATTTGCTGGAAATATGGATTGAAATTCTGAAAATGCTTATTGGGAAGGGGTGTAACTGAATTCATTGTGATTGTTAGTTGTACGTCCTGCATCAGAAGTTTTGAAGAGTAATTCACCAAATGCAAAGGCAAGGTTTCAATTTGTCCTAGCATACATATGGTGTTGCAGTGGTTAGAATGCAGGATTGCAGGCAAATGCTGCCCACAGTCTGGAGTTCAATCCTGACGAGCTCAAGGATAACTCAGCCTTCCATCTTCTGAGGTTAGTAAAATGAGGACCCAGATCACTGGGGCAAAAGCTGACACTGTAAACCAGCCAGAGAGTGCTATAAAGCACTACGGTATTATAAAATGTGGTGATAAATGTACAGTATATATATATATCAAAATACTACTAAATCATATGATACAAGTAGTCCTTGATTTATGACCTCAATTGAGTCCGAAATTTCCATTGCTAAGCAAGACTATTGTTAGTTGTGCCCCATTTTATGACCTCTTGTGCCACAAGTCATTCAGGGAATCACTGCAATTAAGTAAATCATACGGTTGTTAAGTGAGTCTGGCTTCCCCCATTGACTTTGTTTGTCAGAAGCCACCTGGAAAGGCTACAAATGGTGGTCGCACAACCGTGCAACAGTGCAATTGTCATAAATACATGCCAGTTGTCAAGTGCCCGAATTCTGTTTGTGTAGAATGCTGCAACAATCATAAGTGAAAACCGTTCATAAGTCGCTTTTTTCAGTGCTGTTTTAACTTTGAATGGTCACTAAATAAATGGTTTGTAAACCGAAGACTACTTGTATTGTTACTATATGGATCAAGAAAAACACAACTTTTGATAGGGGCAAGTGGATTAAGGATAGACAACACAATTATAAAAATCACAAGGGAGAATTCTGGTGATGGGAATAGGAAGAAAGGAACATTGTTACACTGAAATGTTTATAATATTCTCAATTCTCAGTTTTGGATTCTGGACAATTAGCCAACACCATTTTGTCCCCTACAAATTGGGCTGTCAGCACAGAATACCTCACACGGATTAGTAATAAACAAGTACTGTATGCTTCGCATTTCAATTTTGTTTTTTTCTGAGATTACTGACCTGTCAAGGTGTATCCATTCTTTGTTTAGTTGGTTAGATATTCAGGAGTACTTCTGACAGGAACAATCACAGCTCAGTTACACTCAGCAGCATAAAATGTCCTGCATTTTTGAAGCCTAAATTAGAGAAGGCAAAAAGTCACAGATGTACTTTCAACTCTTCTCCTCAGGGCAAAGATGGCACCAATATACAGGTAGTCCTTGACTTATAACAGTTCATTTAGTGAGTTGAAACGGCACTGAAACAAGCGACTTATGATTGTTTTTCAAAGTTACGATCTTTGCAGCACCTCTATGATCATGTGATCAAAATTCAGATGCTTGGCAACTGGTTCATATTTATGTGTCCCAAGGTCTTGTGATTCCCTTTTGCAGCTTTCTAACAAGCAAAGTCCATGGGGAAGCCAAATTCACTTAATGACCGGGTAACTAACTTACTGTATCAACTGCAGTGATTTACTAAACAACTGATACAAGAAAGGTCGTAAAATGAGACAAAACTCATTTAACAAATGTCTCACTTAACAACATAAACTTTGGACGCGATTGTGGTAATAAATCGAGGACTACCTATATTCATAGTTATTCCATCACACATATCACACATTTGTTATTTGCTTAGGATCAAAAATTTTCACATTGCTCTTCAGTAACTATAAGAAAATTATTAATCATTATGTTGAGCCTTTTAGCTTGGAACTTGAATTCAGATATATTTGTTTAAGGATTCCTAGAACAGAGAGGAAGATTCTGGAGAATTTTCTGACCTAATTTTATGTTCTCATAAAAGAAGATGGAGAAAAAGCTACTGGAGTTCTGGAGCTTCAGGAAGGTCTTGGGTTGAATTTGGAACCTTACCTATCAAGAGCTGTGGTAGCGCAGTTGTTAGAATGCTGTATTGCAGGCCAACTCTGCTCACATTGCCAGGAATTTGATTCCTTCAATCTTGATTGGCTGAAGGTTGACTTAGCCTTCCATCATTCTGAGGTCAGTAAAATGATTGTTGGGGGCAATATGCTGATACTCAGAAAGGGCTGTAAAGCACTGTGAAGTGATATATAAGTCTAAGTGCTATTACTAATTGACTGTCTCTTACCTATTATGATGTTACCAGTACCTATTATTACCGTATACTCACTATAGGGTTGCTAGCCATGGTCCTGAATTCAAGTGAAGGATCTTTGAACTGGACCTGCACAGCTGCATATGTCAACTGAGGACTATCCAGCTAAGGCCCGTTCAAGATTCACTTCTTCAAAGGGAACCTTTAAGGAACCGATGGGAACTATTGCTCAAACCTTTCCCTTTCCCTTCCAAATTCAATATTGGGTCAGATGTACTGTAGTTGTTTTCAATAGGCCTTCTTGCTGAGTCTGAAAAGGGACAGGAATGGAGATGGGCAACAATAGAGTAGAGTAGAGTAGAGTAGAGTAGAGTAGAGTAGAGTAGAATAGAATAGAATAGAATAGAATAGAATAGAATAGAATAGAATAGAATAGAATAGAATAGAATAGAATAGAATAGACTTTTTTATTGGCCTGGACACACAAGGAATTTGTCTTGGTGCATACACTCTCAGTGTACATAAAAGAAAAGATACATTTGTCAAGAATCATGAGGTACAACACTTAATAATAGTCATAGGGTACAAATAAGCAATCAGGAAACAATCAATATCAATATAAATCATAAGGATACAAGCAACAAAGTTACAGTCATACAGTCGTAAGTGGAAGGAGATGGGTGATGGGAACGTGAGAAGAATAGTAGTGCAGACTTAGTGAATAGTTTGAGGGAATTATTTGTTTAGCAGAGTGATGGCTTTCGGGAAAAAACTGTTCTTGTGTCTAGTTGTTCTGGTGTGCAGAGCTCTATAGCATTATTTTGAGGGTAGGAGTTGAAACAGTTTATGTCCAGGATGCGAGGGGTCCGTAAATATTTTCACAGCCATCACAGAACAAGTTTCTCTTTAAAACAAAGAAGACATTTGTTTGCATCTGCCCTAAAAAGCAAAGTGTAAGCAGAAGAAATAGTTATGGGGGAGAGGAAGGAAGAAAAAGAGCAGAGTTGGAGGCAGAAAATGAAAATCAGCCAAGGAGATAGGAATGGACGGTTGGGAACAATGGTGGGCTGCTGCTGGTTCGGACCAGTTTGGGTAAACCGGTTGTTGTGACCTGCCCACCTGTCTGGGCACAATCCTGTCCTATATCACTGTGTTTGACATCACATGCCTGTGTGGATGGTGCATGCGCGCAAATTGCTATGTTTTGTGATGCCACATGAATGCATGGATGGCGTGCGCTCACATTTCCGGTGCTGGGTGAACTGGTTGTTACAGTGTGTGATGCCCGCCTCTGGTTGGGAGGGAATCTTGCCTTGCATCTTTTTTGATATCAGAGGAATCCAGGAAGCTAAGAAAGGAAAAGTTGAACAAGACCTGTGGTCTAGGGATTAAGATATTGGATTATGAGTGGGGAAATTTGAGTGCTAATCCTGCCTTATGCCTAAACCAGCAGAGTGACTTTGGGCCAGTCACTCACTCACTCTCAGCCCATGAAAGAAGATAATTATTGTAAAAAAAATGTGGAATTTATTTAGGCAGTCACCAGGAGTCAACACCACCAGCACCCAACGTAAATTGTTCATTATATTAGATGAGAAATAAAGTAAAATAAAATCAGCCTGTCTTCCATATTGAGATACTAAATTTCCTAGACAAGAAGCAATATTAAAGAAGAAAACTTCTGTATTAGAATTTTTCAGTTTATAATTCTGAAGCAGTGGTAGTGAGATTGTGAGGATAATAATTCTCCAGACTGAGTAGAAATTGTGCCACTTGTAACTAAATAAATTCAGTTACACAACATTCTCTAATGTTAGACTGTAGAGTGAAATCCTAAATTTGAGTTTCTTTGTTGCATTTATATCCCACTGTAATCCAATGACACTTAACTCATCAGAATGTAATTAATCTATAAAAATATGTTAAAGTTCATTTATACTTGGTTAGCATGATTATAATCACTGGTACATGACAGCCTGATTCATTTCATACAGCGATTAATGTGAAAGGACTACATTGTCTTGAGTTCCATCAATACCTACCCAAAGGGATTTCAGGAGTACAAGAAAATAATGGTGAGCACATTTTGGAAGTTCTCTCATTTAATAGATTAAACCTCCCAAATATAACCCTGTCTATAGATAACCACCTGGGAATTTTGATTGTTTGGATCCATTATCTTCCAGTAATGAAACAATTAATGTTGGATTCATGGAGGCAGTTATTCACCTGGGAAAATTATCTCCAGGAAATTGGTCTCAGCATATACTCTTTGTTATGTCTTGGTGCCTTATGAGGAGCATTCTGATGCTTGAATCCAGATGGGTTATGGACCTATCTATGCATGAAGGTATGTGTTTGTATGAAGCATGTTGATGATTTCCAGGTTCAAGTCCTGCAGGCATAACATTATGGATGGGTCAAGTCTGTTTCTGAAAAACCAGATCCTAAATATGGTTTCCTTTCCAAATTTTCCAGGATAATACTTTGCTCATGTTCTTCAATATATGAAGAGTTCAAAGATCACAAAATAATGTATATAAAAAAACCTGTCATTAAAAATATTGATGTTCATATGTCATGAAATGTCAACTTTAGGTGTAAAATAAAATCCTAAACTTTCAAAAAGCTGATACCGAAGCTATACATAATTTCCACATGAGAATATTTAAATTGCTTATTTAGATGATTGGCTGCTATGTTTTGGAATACTGTTTGAAATATATATATCACACTTTTGGACAGAGATTATTAATTAAATATTGCATCTGGCTTTCTGCAAAGAATCTATTTCCATACATCTGCAGCAGTATAAATGAAAGTATTGATGTTCATAAGAAAATATAAAATTTAAATCAAAATAAACATTTTATTAATAAAAATTGTTTATATCAGTTTCCTGCCTTTCCTGTTTTTGTTTTATCAGAATTAATTCAACACACACAATAGGAATCCCATCTTATTAAGATGTATTTTGGTTAATGGCATCTTGAATTTTCAATGGCTTTTAAAACCTTCAAGTTTGTTTTGCCTGAGTCTTTTCCTTATACTTTATAATTATACTTTTCTTTAGAGGATGGGACTATGTAGACAGTTTAAATGCCTCTAAAAATAAAAACATAGAACTAGACAGGCAATTGGATTATGGACACTTAACACTGTTAGAATACCTATTGATAGGAAAACCTGTTTATCATCCTATAGAGCACTCACACACACGCAGTTAACAGCCCAGAAAGCAATGTGTTTTTTGCACATTGCTCATAGAAGATGAAACACCTTCAAGTGGAGCAACTTCAAATGGATTAAAATTGTGAACAACCCTTAGAATTATTCAAACTGTAGGCAGAGCTGGATGATCAGATTATTTAAATACCAATTCTTCGGAGAAAGTAAAGCATGGCCATTGTTGTGTAGCATATATATGTGTTCTACCCCAGCTCCAGATTCCCGAGGATATAGACACACACCAACGGTCCTTATCAAATTTATTAAGTACAGTAGCAAGAATAAACCAAAGTCCGGCAAAAGTTGACAACCAGCCCAGAAAGCAAGATAAGACTTTTTCAAAAATGCTCTGATGATAATTACAAGTTGTTTCTAGCAAGAAACTTACTAACGGTGTGTGACTTAAATAGGCTAAGGGAGTGGCCAATTATCCTCAAGCCTTACTCTCGAGGAGACTTCCTCCTCCTGAGTAGCCACTCCTACCTTTTGGCAGCCCTGCGTGCTCGAGCATTGAGAAGAGGCTCCTCCACTTCGCTCTCTCCACTTGAAGGAGCCTCTGGAGGTTCTGAAGGCCCTGGCTGAGTCTCTGCCTCTGGCACCACATCCTCTTCAGCCTCCTCGCTGTCTGATGCGAGCGCCGGCTGTGCAGGCTGCTGGCACGACACCACACCAGCCTCCTCGTCGTCGGGATCAGCCACGATCTGCGCAGGCCGCTGGCGGGCCACAACAATATGTGAATAAAAGTTACACTACTAATCATTTTTTTAAAAAAACCCATGAACAGTGAATGTCAACTAGAAAGACCATGCCAATATTGATTTTTCGTACAAATAAAAGTTTAGGAAGTATTTGTTTTTGGAGAGTATTTTTCAATGCAGTAATAAAATAGAACCCAATTTGGGAGAATGGATCCCTTGCAGATTATAAACAGAATGTGAAAGCTGTTTAAAACTAGAGAGATTTAAAAAAAAACCCTCTGGCTGAATAGAACTTGGTTTCTAATCCATTTCAAGGAAAATCATTATCTAGAGAAATCTTATGCTTGATCAAAATGTTTAGGATAATCTCTCTGCTATTGAGATATTGGTACCCTTAGAAGGTTGTGTTTGTGAATTGCATTTTTTTCACTTACCACTTCTTTACTATCACCTCAAAATAAGGAAGTTCCTGGAAGTCAACAACAGAATTGTATAACATATTTATTTCCCAGTATATAATCTGAAGTTATTTGTTTTGGATAATATCTCAGCTATATAATCTGACATTCCTTTTGTGATATAAATTAAAAATCTTAACCTTAGTTTTCTTTGTCCTGAGGGAGTCAGTATTTGTTCTTCACTCTTGCCTAATGTTAATGCTTTGGCTCTGGTTTCTTTTCTTTCATTCTCAAAAGCCCAGTGCAAGGATGGTACAATTGAAGCCTTACTTCTAAACACAAATCCTCCTATGTGCTTTCCATCAAGAGCTCTTATATCTGCTAATAAAGGTATTCATTATCTCAATACAACAGGCTAGTCCAAAGTGAAGCTTCTGTCAAACATGATACTCCATATGGCAAAATTACAGTTGCCCTGAGAACATTACATTTTGTACTTTTAACATTTTTATGTTCATTGACTTGATATCAACCAGCTTCTAGTTCAGCATCTACTTATCACTGAATTATGAAAATGGCAAGACATTGCATATTTCTGCCCACAAGAAGTTAAGCTTAACCTGAGGGATCCTTCACCTTTCCCTA